GGTATATGAATTTCCCGGTACAATGAACCAACCAACCGATCACAACTCTAAATTAGCATATTACGAATATTCCGGCGGAAGAAATTTGTCCTCCGGTGTACGGAGAGCTCAAAACCTCAACACTTGTCGATTTACGTTGCACTTTTAGATTATCCTCCATTATTCTCACCGATCTACACTCTTCACTACAAAATCCTTTATCTCCTCTTCAAATTCAAACATTTATAAATCAATCAATTTTCAGAAACTTCATGATCCAATTCACTTTGTATGGAGTTGTTTGTTATGGTTTTTAAAAAGACACATTAGAAGAGCTTACTTGTACATGTAAATGTCTTTGCCTTTAAGTTTCTTCTCACACAAGCAACACGAGCTCAGAGAATCTCTGAATACCTCCTTCTTCTTCGCCGGTGATTCCTCGATCGGTTTATCCGATGGACGATCACCGACCGATAAATTCTTACGAAATTCGAATTCGTCCTCGTTGTAATACACTTTGTTCATGCCATCGCGATTCGTGACGCAAGTGTATTCCTCAGAGAGATCATCAATCTCCACCACCGGAGAAAATCGGAATCTCCGGTTAGAGTGAACCGGATCGGTTCTATTCGAACCGGAACAAACCGGGGACGAAATCTCATGCTGATTGATCCTGATGGTGGATTTCTCAAGCGCAGCGACGATACCTAACCCAATTCCACCGTTATTGAAGTTTCCACGCGACGGGAATTTCATATCTAAAGGGCTTCTTCTTCTCGGAGTCGCCGTGAAATTTCCCGGCGAGATAACCGATCTGTTTCCCGGAACCACCATATGGGGATTGCTTAGAAGCATAATCTAAAAACTGAAAGAAAAAAAAACCAAAGGAAGATAAGAAGTGAAAATCAAAGATTGAATTTTTATAGGAATCTGTGATTATGAAGAAGAGAGAAAGAAGAAAAAATGGTGAAGGTACAGAGCTAAGCCCCAACGGATATCCGCATTTATTTACGGGTCGGATATTCGCATTTTTCTTAGAAAAAAAGCTATTTAAGTTATGTACACTTCTTGATTTTTTGTTTTCGTTTGTGTGGAGTAATTTACAACAATTGCGTATATATTCTTTTGCTTTCGTAACATAATTAGAGTATGTGAAATATAAATCTACTTTTGCTTTGCTGTCATATAAATCTACTTGTGTGTTGGTATATAATATACAACTAATATGACAAAGAACATGTATAGTGTTGTTATTGTTTCATCACTTGATTTAAAGTCGCCTAACAAGTGTCGTGAACATAAAATTTATAGCCAAAAAGAATATCGGAGAGACATGGTACGGATTGTGAAAATTTAGGTTACCCATTTACATCAATTTTACTTGATCGTATCAAAAATAATGTTGAAACTG